TTTTGAGGGGTATCTCAAGGGGGTTTGAGGAGATCCCAGGGGTCAGGAGGATCCCAAGGGATTTTGAGGGCTATCTCAAGGGGGTTTGGGGAGATCCCAGGGAGGTCAGGGGAGGATCTCAGGGTGGGTTTGGAGGGAGGTCTCAGGGGATTTGGGGGGATCTCAGGGTGGTTTGATGAGGATCTCATGGGGGTTTCGTGAGAACCTCAAGGAGGGTTTGGGGAGGACCTCGGGAGGGTTTGCTGAGGATCTCAGGGAGGGTTTGGGGTGGGAGGTCTCAGGTGATTTGGGAGGATGATCTCAAGGTGGTTCAACAAGGAGCATGGGAAGCTCCCAGGAGGATGTGGCATGTTTTGGGGGGTCCCAGCAGAGTTTAGAGGGTCTCAGACCTGGCAAACTTGCAGTCAGAGGCGATGTGTCCTGCGCCACCACACTTGGTGCACACAGTGGTGTTGGTGATGCTGCGAGTCTCAGTGCTCTGCCACGGCCGCAGGATGCTGTTGGGGGAGCAGGACGAGGTTGGGTTACCTTGGGGGGGCTCATGGAGGGGTTCAGGACAAGGTTTTGGGGGTGATTATCATCCCTAACCGATTATCATCCTCTCTCAGGGTCCCGTTGAGCCGTGCCAGCTCACGAAGCTGCATCTTGCGCAGGTCGTTCTGGTCCTCGGGGGTCTCGATGCCTTGTTTCAGGATGTTCCGTGGGGGGGGGGTGGGACACAGAGTGGGGAGTGTGAGGAGGTTCTACAGTACCAAGGACCTCCCCCCTCCCCAAAAATGCCCAGCCCAGACCTGCTCCACGGCCTTCTTGACGTTCTCCATGGTGTTGGCGGTGACCAACGCGTGTAGAGGTTCATCCTCTCCTGGCAGCATCTGCCCATCCTTTCTGCCCACTTTGCCCTCCTTCACTGAGCCCTTCCCCCGGATCATGATCTTGGCGTTGCATTCCTTCTCGATATTCTTCAGGGTGTTCCCTCTGGAATTCAGGGGAGGGTCACATACTGGGATTTGGGAGGAGGGAGAGACCCGCAGGGCAGAGGGAAAGGCAGGACACACCTCAGGGTCGTTAAGGCTCATTATGGAGAGGAATTAACAGTCTCCAAATACCTTAGGGGATACTAAGAAGGGGGCTCAGCCTGGGCAGGGGTCACCCTCTTGGATTAAGGGGGACACCCCAAAGACCCCCCAAGGCACCCACAAATTCGGGGCAGGGGGGCACACAAGCAGGACCCACCTGGATAGGAGCTCAGGATCACTAAGGCTCAATAAAACCATTTAGAAGGCACTAAGGGGGGCACAGCCTAGGCAGGAGGAGGGGTCACCCTCTTGGATTAGGGGGAACACCCCAAAGCCCCCCCAAGGCACCCACAACTTCAGGGCAGAGGGGGACACAGGCAGGACCCACCTGGATAGGAGCTCAGGGTCATTAAGGCTCATTAAAACCATTAACACCCCCCAAAATCCTGACGGGGGGCACAGAATGGGCAGAGGACCCCCCAAGGAAGCCCAGCAGCACCCCAGCTCATTAGCTCAGGCTCATTTAGAGCCCCCCAAATCATTTGGGGAGCATGAGAAGATGGAAGGGGGGGAGGTGTTACCCTCTCGGATTGGGGGGGGCACCCGGAGAGAGAGGAGATATGACCCAGCAACACATCAGCTCAGGCTCATTTAGAGCCCCCTCAAAAGAATTTGGGGAGCACAAGACACAAGAGATGAAGGTGTTACCCTCTTGGACTGGTGGGGACATCCCACAGCCCCCCTAGATGGAGGGAGGAAGGAAATTGAAAGGTTTA